GAGGTTGGGGGAGGAAGGGAATGGGGTCACAGGAAGAAATAACAAAAGCCTCTTTCCTTTGCATAAAACGTCTAAATCAGGGCAAGTTTGAGGGACACCTGGAAGATTTATAAAGATACCACAACCAGTCTCCAAGTTAAGTCCCAAGGGAGCCACCAGTTAAAAGACTAAACTCCTAGAGGCCTCTGTTCTTCCTACTCACAGGCTACATACTCCAATGAGAGTGGCCATGTTGACTTGAAAAATAGAAGCTGGTGGAATTTCAGGTCATACCACATCAAACATTCGCAGTGCTCTGGGTCTTGCTGCCTCTAAGCCATAGGTATTTCAAGGAAGGTAAACTTAATCTATGAAAAACTACTGCCCAGGATCTATAAGTAAAGTCAGCCTCAATCAAAGTAAGACTGATTACCACAGGGCTTGGATACACCAATGGCCAGATATTAACTCTTCTCACCCTCAAGAATCCATTGGTGAGATTTCCCTTTCTTGTAGTTCCTTTATGTGACAAATATATATGAAACAGTAAGGTGCAGAGCTGGCAAAACTCAGGACATGAAGCAGCATAAGGAAAAAAGCATTCGACATTCTTCTATCATCCACGTGCCTCACTGGTTCATCCGCATGCCATGGCCGAACCGCCAGTCTTCATAGTAAGTCCCCACATTCAAATCCTAGCTTGCAAGCACTAGCCCATACATTTTCTTATTTGTACTCCCACTTACACTGGGAAGGAAGGATCATTAAGCACCCACTTTACAGGCAGAGACTCAGAGAGGTGCTAACAAGGCATAGCCAATCTGGAGCCTGGTCACTTGACAGAGAATCCCCTGGCCTTTTCATTATTTCTCTACCCTAAACCGTTGGCGAGGTAAAGCAAAACCAAAAAAGAAACGCTATGCATTTCAATTTATATGGCTTTTTTTCTTTCTTTTTTGCAGTGGAATTTTTACCTGGCAAATAACTGCAGCTTTGAAATAGCTGATTGTTATAGTAACAACAGGTATTTGAAAGTGAGGTTTAGTTGGGTTTAAGAAAACAAAAGTAAAGAGAGCAGAGAGAACACAGTTACAAATAGTGACATATACAAAACAATAATAAATTAAAGATGGGAAAAAACAGGATTTGCCCCCAGTGTTTACCTAGCACTCACCTTTGTCCTGAAATATCCCACCTCCACACCCAGCTCCTGGTTAATGAACATAATTTTGTTGATGTCCCTTGAACTGTATAATCTGTTCCACAAAAAACAAACCCACAGTTTGTCTCCAGGCCATTTTTAAGTCCCTAACTCCCTGGTTACATTCAGTCTATGGAAAACATCTGTGGCAAAGTAAATCATCCTACTTTGAGCAAGACCAGAGTGTATTTTTTTTTTTTCTCTAAGTGTGTTTTGAAGTCCTGGTTGGAAAATTAGTGAAAATTGTAAATCTGTTTGCAAATCTGGTCATGTCTAACTCCAAGATTAGGGCAAAGATTCCAATTTAAAAGTAAAACCGTGACAACCCCAGTTAAGCGTGTCCTCAGGCACTGCCAGCAGGGCCTTCACTCACTTCCACAGGCAGTGGATTTATTACAGGCACCCTACACGTTCCCCATCAGACACCCCTGGAGTATTTACTTGAGACAGCAGGGTTCAGTCTGCACTTCCTCTGCAGACCAATATATTATTATAAATTGAGCTAAACTGTTTCCTTTTCATAAGTGCTATGAAGTTCAGATTTCAGATATCAGCACAGGGCTGAGGTCCCTCCGTGGGGCTCCATGTGCTATTTGGATTGAAAAGGAAAGAGAAAAGGCAGCATTATTAGAGCATGGTTGCTTTTATTTTTGATTGTTTCAATAAGAGGAGATGAAAGAAGGTTCATTTTAGAAATCAGATATGGTATCTTAATAAGAAAATATATTTTAAATGCAGAACCCCATTTTAAATGGGGTTCACTGTGCTGGGCTTGGCACAGGTCAGCAGGGTACCAACTATTTCACCTATATCTGAAGGTAGGAAATCAGGAGATTTTATAACATGGACAACAACTGCTATAAAACAGTAACACTAATTTCTTCAGTTTATCACATATAATAGCTGAAGGGACCCAATGTGTATTTAAAAATTTATATTCATTATAACATGTAAATTAAATGAATGTAATTATTTAATGTTTTCATCACGAATCCATTTAAAAAAAACATAACTTTAAAAAAAATGGAAAAGAAGGTAACAAACAGAACATGATCATCTCCTCCTTTTCTTCTCTTCCTGAACAATTTAGTCCTAAAGCCATTAGGTGAGGCAGAGGCATCATGCTGGGTTGAAGAAAGGGCAAAAAAGCCCAGAGCAGGGCTCAGCACTTGAGTAGGGTGAGGAGGGCATCCGTGCTGGGGGAGGAGGGGTGGACACACATGGGGTGTCAGGTCCCAAGTAGGATAAAATGGCAAGATACAATCCACGCTTCTTACTACCTGTGTAACCACGGTTAACTACCTACATAAATGTAACCTCGATGTCTTCTTTTGTAATACAGCTAATATTTGCTTCTCAGGGTTGTTGAGAAGATTCAAAGAAAGCTTGACTTATTTTTATTCATATTACTACTACAATTCCAGACACATCTATGTCTAGAAAAAGACTGAAAAGGAATACACTAACTCAGGCATGAACCTGATTTTTATATTCTTTCATTTTATACTTTTCAGAGTTTCTTTTCTCTGCGATGAGCACATATTGCTTTTTTAATCAGAAAAGAGCACATAAGATGTTATTAAATATATGGAATATAGCTGAACTTTTAAAATGCATATTTACTATGTTCATATACAGAAAAAAATTAATAAAGCCATTTTAAGATACCATCTGGCTGTCATTTCTTTTAAAGAAGCAAGTTGCTAATAGAAACTCCTGAACCTTCAAAGTATCCAAAGAAAAGTGATTTATTGGCTAAAATTAATATCTATTCAGACTCAAACAAATATTCACATTTGAGTGGCACAGAAAAAAATGAATTAATAATCCGTTTACCTATAAACGACACTCAACAAAGGCGTAGGGACTGCAGGACAGAAACTTAGTTTCTGTAACAATAATTTATTGTATATTTCAAAATAGTTAGAAAAGGAGAATTATAATATTCCCCACACACACAAAAGATAAATGTTTGAGGTGATGGATATCCCAATTGCCCAGATTTGATCATTCAAATCAAAATATCACATGTATCCCCAAAATATATACAACTATTATACATAGGAAAGAAAGAAAGCAGAAAAGAGAGAAAGAAAGAAGAGAGACAGAGAAAGAAAGAGAGAGAAAACAAAGAAGGGAAAGAAGGAAAGAAAGGAAGAAAGAAGCAGAGCGAGAAAGAAAACTTAGTTCCTGATGTCAGGCAGAGGAGACAGAGGGGAAGAGACGACCTTACAACATTCCCACATAGAGATTTCAGTATACTGGGATCAAGTCAAAATGGTCCTATTTAGAGTGGGAGAAAACCATATATGAAGCCTACAACCCATTCTGGTCCCTGTTCTGCCTCATACTAAGTGACCTTAGGAAAAATCACTTAGAAAAAGAACAATCTCTGCCATCTCCCTCACAAAGTCACTTACAGGTTGAGATTGCTTATGTGAAATTAATGTGTAAACTACAAAGCAACATGTGAAATGAAAGGCAAGAGGTTAGGGGCTTGCTTAGATTATTAGTGCTCAGCAAATGGCAGGAATCGCCCCATGAGAAGAATTTAAGAGGTAAAGGGACACAGCATTAAGTATCACTGAATCACACTGTGAGAAAGAGCCCCTATGTAATAATCTTGCAATTCTCTTGCACACACTGAGGAGAAAGACTCAGGTTGGTACCACTACGCAGTGAACACCTTTCTGGCAGTTACCAATCCTCCTTTTTAACAAAGACAGAACAGGACCCAGCTCAGGATATCCAGCAAACAAAAGTAGCAGACACTAAATACTGTTTTAGTTTCTCTAGATTTATATTTATAAAACCCTCCTAATTATACCTCATCATATTGGTTTCCCATTTAAGATAGTGATACAAAGTCCCCTTTTAAAATAAATTCATTTCGGTGAAAGATAAAAAAGTTACTTTATTTAGAGAGAAATGGCACATAAATAATTGCACAAGTAGTGGAGTTATTCCATACTCTGATTCCTAAAAGGCAAGAACGAAGATCTATCCACCTCTAATATCTCTCCCAGAACCTTACATGGTACCTGGAACATAGTGGACTCTCCACAAATACTCAATTAACTGGGAATTAATTCTTATCATAAATTCTGGGCTTCAGCCCTGATTCTTCCTGGCACCAAAACCAACATATGAGTAGATTTCCCTAGACAGATAGGAGTGAGATAAACCCTGAATAATCAGTAGCTAGAGCCAAGTAGAGACTAAACCCTGAGAAGGTCTGTGAATAAAAAAGGACACTGTTTGCACACTGAGCATGGGAAAACAAGTAGAAAGTCCAAAAACAAAATTAAAAGCTTACAGCAAAGAAGCAAAAAACAAAGCCCCACAAACACCACAGCTTCGGTTAGCCTAAGCACAGCTGAAATACTGCTTCCCACAGAACCAAATGACAAAAGGAGAGAAAGGTCTGGTTGTCAAGTCAGCTGTTCCTGAGAATAAACTAAATTCAAAACGAGAAAAAACTCTCTCACTATTAAAACTTATACAGACAGTGAAATATTTTAAAAAGTTACACTGAGAAGTTGAGTTGGATGATTTAATGGCTCTGATGAAGAATCCTAAAAAATTGTTTAGCACATTTGGGGAACTCCATAAATACTTAGAATAAAATGAAAAGCAACTTGAAAAAATTTAGCAGTATCTCAAAAAAAAAATAGTTACATGTTCTTATAAAGAAGTTTTATTGTTAATATAAAATACTCAAAAAGTTTATTTCAAAAGACATATTCAAAATATGTCAATAATTTAAAATTTAGACATTAGAGCATCAATATAATTTTGATTCTCCTAAGTCTAAGATTACCAAGCATAAAATAGCAGTCTCCTTGGTGAAGGGGTATTGCCAAACCAGGTGTCTCTATGTCCCAAGAGATCTTGAAACCAACATGCCAAGTATCTGGGTCTCTGCCTTCGAGATGAGAGTCATCGTCACTCTCCTCCTCAGGGCCTGTCAAAAGAGAAGAAAGTGGTCAGAAAGGAAATGTTTAATCTAAACTTCTAGGTTTTATAGTAATTATTTTAAAAATAATTTATATTTTAATAAAATATGGATGCTAAGTGAAGTATATTCTCTTTTATGTCATTTTAAAAATACATTCTAGGATATTTTCAATGTGTCACTTATTTTTTCATCAAGAATCCTTAAGTAAAATGATGAGGAAATAACCACTGATACCAAGGAAGATAAAAGAAGATTATTTTTTCCTTTCCAAGCAAATAAATCAGAAAATATAAACTAAACACATAGTGTTTTAGGGATGTATTAATTACAAAAATTGATCCAAGAAGAGGTAGAAAAGCTAAACAAACCATAGAAGGTATAGAGAAGTTATCAAAGAACTCTCTCAGGAAAATATAGGCTCAGAGAGTTTCTAAGGAAAATTCTACTAAGGCAATAAATAATTTTAATACACTTTAAATTGTTTTGTTGTTATTGTTGTTGTTTAAGACAGAGTCTAACTCTGTCGGCCAGGCTAGAGTGCAGTGGCATCATCATAGCTCACTGCAACCTCAAACTCCTGAGCTCAAGCGATTCTCTTCCCTCAGCCTCTTCAGTAGCTGGGACTACAGGCACATGCCACCACGTCCGGCTAATTTTTTCTATTTTTTGTAGAGATTGTGTCTCACTCTTGCTCAGGCTGGCCTCTAAATCCTGGTATCAAGCAATCCTCCCAACTTGGCCTCCCAGAGTGCTAGGATTACAGGTGTGAGCCACCATGCCCATTCTAAATTTCTTAAAAGCACAGAAAAATAAATTTCCAAATTCTTTTCATGAATAGAACAATATGTATCAAAACCCAAAAAGAAAATGCATAAACTCATAAACCAATCTCCTATCTGACAATCAACACAAAATTCCTAAATATAAGGAAATAGAATCCAAATTGGCAGCATATTATTAATAAAAGAATAACATTCCATGACCGAGTAGAATTTATTCTAGGAATACAAAGATGGCTCAACTTATACTTAAAATTCGTCATATTCAAAAATCGAAAAAAACAAAACAAAAAAAATCATGAGTCACCACTCTGATGACACTAAAATATTTGATAAAATACAACATCCTTTCATGATAGAAACCTCAATAAAATAGGAATGCCTGGCTATTTCCTTAACATGGTAACATATAGATCTGTCTCAACCCCAAAGCCAGCATAATATTTTAATAGAAAAACACTGGAAACATTCACAAAGTTAACAATTAGAAAAAGAAGTCCTTTTTCACCATAATGATTCATTATTATTCTGGAAGGAATGGCCAACACAATGATGCCCTCCGGAATTGTATAACAGAGCACTCTTAATAAGACAAAATAAGAGATACGAAAATTTTTAAATAAGAAAAACAAAATTTGCATATGATTATTTATCTGCAAATAATGAGGAAAATACATCTCAAGCAATAGGCAAATTAAGAAAATGCTATGATAGGCTCAGAATTAAATTACAGTAATTAACAACTTATAAAAACAAATACCCCATTTATAGAAATATCCACTAAAATTTTATATGCATTGTCTGTATGAAGAAAAATTTTTAAAAGCCACTGAAGGGGACAAAAGAAAGTTTAAACAGATGTTATGGAAATGTCAGAATAAAAAGACCAACTGGATTGTTTTCTAGATGAGTGTGGCTGGCAACTATAAAAGCTGATTCTATAATACAAATACATATGGAGGTATAAACAAGCAAGAATTGTCAAGGAATGTTTTTCTTAACATATAAAGAGCTCCTACACATCAATAAGATAAAGATCAACAGACTAATTTTAAAACCCATAAAGGAAATAAAACTAGCTTGTAAAAACACAAAAAGATGTTCCAACTTATTCACATAAAATACAAATTAAAGCCACAAGAGAGATTTTTCACTATCAAATCAGAAAAGATCAAAAAGTCTGAAAAAATACATTGTTGGTAAGAGTGTAGCAAAATGACATACTCATACTCTCTGTAGAGGACAATTTGAAAATACTATCAAAATTACAAATGCACATACCCTTTGACCCTTATAGGAATTCCACCTTTAAGAATACACACTAAAATTCTTACTTGCAGGGGTTGCAAAATGACTGTTGAGTAAGTAGATTTATTGTAGTATCATTTATAAGAGTAAGAGATTTTATAATAACTCAAATGTTCATAAATAGGTTTCTGGTTAAATAAATTTTGACATGTATAGACAATAAAATAATATGTAGCCACTAACAATAATATGAGTATGTACTGATATGGAACTATCTAATATATTTTTAAAGGAAAAAACTAATAGACTATAATTTAGATTTTAAAATCCTACTTTGGATATTGTTTAATTCTCTAAGTTTGAATTTAAAATCTCATACTGCTATATTAATATAATCTTCCCTTTTTTCATACTAACTCTTCTAATACATGTTTCCTCAAGTACTTTTTAGTTAAGAGCATCTTTTAATTAGACTTCTTTAAAAATAACTTCATTGAATAAAAAGTCCAAAGCTATTTCCTTGGTTAATCCCAAAACTAATTGAAAAAAAAAAATCCTATGGAACAGGGATAAATACATATCAAGCAATACATCTGATTTGTGGCTTTTTTGAGCCCTAGTGAAGAATTCTGAAACTTTCTCCAAGTTCACTGAGAAAGAGTGGCATGATCAATTACTGATGTCTGCTGTGGACACTAGAATGGTTAGTGGCAGCCCCTGCACTGGATAGCATGGTTGCTATCCATGTCTGATGGCATTCTTTAGGCAGTTCTTATACATACATTGCACATTGTTACACTTGTAAATACCAGAATTTGCTAAACTAGAGCTGGTGGAAAAGAATTTACAAAAGTGTACAGCTTGACCTGCACTATATTTCCTTAACAGATCTAACGTAGTTGCCAAGTGATAAAAGTACTTTGCACAAAAGTCCAAATTCCCAGCTACTCTTGAATTACAAGATCTGGTATCACTGAGCAGTCACAAGTGGCTATAGGTAAGAAGGAGCTGCCTGCCCCTTTCAGATGAGGTATGTGGTCTCTACTAGTCACCGTCGCCAGTTAACCACCTCACTTTACTTTTTTGTGGCACCTGCCTGGACCCTACAGCAAAGTCTGTGGACTTTGCTCTGTAGCTGGTCCATAGAGCCCACAGGCAAATCAGGCTCATGACCTGCTTTTATAAAATAAAGTTTAACTAGAACACAGTCATGCCTGATCATTTACATAAATGGCCACTTTCACACTAACACTGAGGTCGAGCAGCTAGGATACAGACTGTGAAACCCACAAAGCCAAAAATATCATCTGGCTCTTTACAGAAAATGTTTGCCAGCCCCTGTTCTCAAGTCTTGATATTTGTGATTTGAGGTCTACTGCACATATTAGTTAAGAAGCTAAGACGCATAAAATAATAATGATGGAATGTGATGAATACCTAACAGTGTGACATGACTAGTGATAGCATATGACATAATAAAGTAATTGATACTAAGTTAGTTGATATTTAGGTCAATTTAGCAAAAGAATATTGACAGAACAACTGTTATGTTTATATTTGTGATAACCCAAAGCTGCGGGCTGCTTCATTCCAGGGAACCCTAATGATAACAGAGATAGCAAATACCACAAGAAAAAACAATAGAAATAATTTAAGAGGGTTTTTCGTATGTCCCTCTCTGGTCAAATCAATTATACCTTAACTACAAAAAGAAAAGATTTTTAAATCACAAAGGCAATGGCTTTCAGGCAGTTTTAATGCCATAGCCTGTGGACAGTCCAACAAATGGTAATCTTTATAGGCTAAAAGGCTAGTTGACTACTTTCCCCACTTCCATCTTGGTACTCTTCTCAATCTGGCACCAATAAAGTCCTGAATGACAATCAGAGACAGCAATTGCAATCAGTGCTTCCTGATGCCTCCCATATATCTAGCACCTTTGAAATGTGCTCATTAAAATGATGTTTTGGTGAGGGATTTTCCCTCCACTGGGCTGGGTAGGGAGGAGGAAAGTTGCATGTCTGATAAATTTTTTTATTGCTTAAGTATAGGGTTCTTATTTTCTCAATGAAATCAACTTGTAATTATCTATAGCAACTGCAACTGATTACTCTTCCCCTGTGTTATTTTGGAAACAAGCAGAGGCAACAGGTTCCTACTTGCCTTTAAGCCTAAGTAAAACTGAAAGGATTTTAAGTGTCTCAGTGTGTTCAGTACATTCCCAGCTCCCACTAACCAAACTGTTAAAAAAGTAAAAGATGTGACAAAACACAAAAGACTTAAGTTTAAAATGCCCAAAACATCCCCCCTAAACTAACCAATTTGTTGTCTTATGTTAACTAGTTTTTGAGAAAAAATCAATTTCATTTAATAAAGGATAAATGGCAAACATTTTGTTTACATTTTTAAAGCCATGTACAACCACTGCTATATAGGAAACAAAGATAAAAGCCAGAGAATGACAGTAGATACTACAGTGCTGATCAAATAAAATATATTGTAAAAACTTTTGTACCATATTTAATAACATCGTATGTTGTGAATTTCCCTCCTATGTAAATATTCATCATCACCACACATTACAGATCCTGAGGCAAGAGAAACCCAGAAGTTGTAGACGGTCAGCTGGTATATGAAGCCTAATGATGCCTTATCTGTCCAATGATGATCTATGACATTCCGATGTCTGGATGGGGAATCCAACTTTAAAAATGGAGGGAGACAGAAAGTGACAGGGGAGGGCGTGAGGTTGGGAAGACACATTCTAGCAGGGAAACGGCATGGTGCGTGTGTAAGACCACAATCACTTCTAGGTTACAAGAGGGCCATGTGAATGACATGGACTTACAAGAGAAGAGGTTGGAGACGTGGGCAGAGACCAGGACCAGGGTTTTGTGAACCATAGTATAGAATCTAGCTTTATACTGAGGGCAGTGACATACACTGAAGATCTGTTTTCAGAATAATCTCTGGAGGGTA